TTTTTTCATTCAATATTAAATTATCCCAATGTTAAATTATCCCAAAAACCCATGAAATGATTGCTTATAGGAAAACATTCATTTGTTCTGTCTTTACTCTTTTTAACATGTTGTCAGTATTTTCTCATTATCTTTTCAGGAGATTAATACATTTGGCACACAGCTAGGACTTTCGCAATTATTTCATGGGAACGTAACACTATCTGACTTAAAATTGGAGTTGGTTTAACCTACACAGATCATTTTAAAAGTGGCATTGTGATTATTAAATATTAATATGAATAACTCTTTCTATGCGATTAGCATTAGTTTGTGTTTATTATTTGAAAATAATTAACTATTTGTTCATTGTCCATCCTTCAACAGTGACTTCCATTAATTTAAAACTGTAACAGGAAACAGGTTTGTCTACAGTTTACTTGTTACAGTTTATTTCCCTTCTCCCTTAATATAATCTGTTGCAGAAGCCAGCTTTTTCTTTCTTTTTGCTAGTACGTTTCCAGAACAGTTCTAGGTTCAGATGCGTAAGTTAGAAAGCTGTTTTTGGCAGCGCTCAACAGTGGGGAGAATTAGATGGCAGATACAGGTCACTGGGAAGGCAGACACAGACGTTTTCTGCCAGTTTCAGAATACACTCAAACAGTGTTTTTTCTCTTGCGATTCTTGAAAACTATCAAGTTGAACCTTTAGCTCTCATTTATTCTCAGTGACCACTAGTAATTTTCCCTGGGAAAAAGGAAGAGGCAATCTGTAAAAATTCTGAAGTTGAAATTGTCCAACTCATTTGCGTCTCTACTTTACAATCTCCCTTCTTGAGTAAATCCATCCTTGGCATCTTGTCTTGGTAATCTGTGTTTAGGACAGTATTTCCATCCACCTTTATCTGAACCTGTCCAAATTGGTTTGAGTCCATAAGGAAAAAAATTTCTCATGATGACATTACAGAAAGACTTTATCAGTAACTGATTCCTTCTTCCTTTATTTCCTTAGTTACTTCCTTTTTTTTTCCTTTGTTACTGTTAGAGAAAGCCTTCTCAAATATCCTCAAATCTATCTTCAGTTAATCTGGTACAACCCCTGAAAGTTTCAGTAGGTTTCCCAAAACTTTAATTCAGACTTGGGGTAAAGAGAGAATTTTTAACTAGAACAAAGGGGGGAAAAAAAAAGTCATAATTGTGATATTGCTAATCAGGGACATACTACTACGGCTCCTTGTTTTCTCCTGGTTTACCTGTCCTGCTGGGTGGGCCTCTAGCTCACTGTGCTGCGACTGGGCAGCGGTATCAGCTCCGTGGGAGTGTGAAGAATGGGGAAAGCCTGTTCCTGGAAACCTGAAGCTCACAGACAGCACTGTTAAAGATAGGTGGGAGCAGAAGGTCTTTGGATTGTCCAGTAAAAGCTTTTAATCACACAGTACTGTTAGCGGTTTTACCCAGTATGACGAAAGATGGTTCTCGACCCATAATCTTATTAATTGCAGATGTGTCATTCACCCTTAAAAAACATGACTGCTAGTTTTGAAATGAGGTTGTCAATCGTCCTAAGAGAAATGTTTCTTTTCCTCCACAAATCTATTTCTTTCACATTGTATCGTATTAAGTCCATATAATGCTTTCTTCATGCCTCAACATAGTTTATTTTTCTATTTCACAGTTACTAGCCCATTCAGTTTTTACTTGTTACTATTATCTCTTAGTAGCATTGTTCACAGGCAGGATAATACCATGAGCTCAAGTTTTAAGAAGTTTAACATGCTTACGAATGGTGTATCTCATGCTTCTTTTCACTTTGTTACACTTACTTCAAAGAAGACAAATAAATAAAAAAAAATCCTGTCCAGTTTGGCTGGAGTAATAATTCATTCTTTATGCTTTTCCTCCTCCTTTCTACAATCTTCTTTGTCTTGTGAAATACTGGACTATGAGTATTTTAAAACTTGTTGTTGTTTTGTCTCATAAATTGACATGTTTATTCTTTAACAAAATGTTAAACTCATTACTGAAATGTCAGCTGTTAAACTCTGTGGTTGTTTTACTTTAATGCAAAATATATTGAGTGTATACAAACCATTTACATACTGTTACAACCTACTTAATTACTTTTGCTGCTTAGGTAAACCGTTTTTCTAACTGTTAAGGCACCTCATGGTTATCACCTAGCAGAATTCCCAAGCGTTCGATCAAAAATGCTGTGGAGTGATCTTCTTGCTATCTCCAGCTACCTAGTGGGAGATTATCAAGCAGATGGAGCCGTGGAGCCAGACTTTTCTTGGAAGTGCCAAGCAAAGGATGAGGACAGAAGATGCCACAAAGGAAATTCCATTTAGATATTAAGAAAAAATAATTCTCAGTGAGGCTGGGAAAACACTGAAACTGGTTGCCCAGAGAGTTCATGGAATTTCCATCCTTGAAGATATTCAAAACTTGAGTGGATATGACTCAGCAACTTGATCTAACTTTGGAGTTAGATATAACTTTGAAGTTGGCTGTACTTTGAGCAGGGGCTTGGACCATATATAGGTCCCTTTCAACAAAAATTATTCTATGGTCCTATGATAGTTCTGCAATGGGTCAGCTGCAGACATTCCTGAGGACATCTCCACAAAGCTCATAGGTTCATGAGGTGATGAGATCACTTGCATCACTGAATTGTACAAGTTTTGTGTTTCTGTGGTTCTGTGACCTCTTCAGAACTACTTTAACTTCGCCTGTGCATCTTTTCAGAATCATCCTGTCTGGTTATTCCACTCTGCATTCCTCTCAGAATATGGATAACGAATACAGGGCAAATTACATCAGTTGACTGCCACCTTTGTAATGAAATATTCCAAGGTCGTCGTGGTTTACAGGCTCCCTTGGTGACTCCTTTCCTGCCAACTTAAACATGATTCCACGTATCTGTCAGGTGGCCTATACCATGAGAAAACTCAGCACTGCATAGATGGGAGCAAAAGACACCCCTGAAAATAGGATTTGAAGCCATTCTGTAATACTATTGTACTACTGTAGCCTGGCTCCCCTCTGCGGCATGCTACACTTTTATATTAATTTACCCTTCCAATCTGGAAAGTGTGACTTTAGGATGCATTCCATTCAAACACCAAAGGAGCAGCGCAAATGGTAGAAGTGGCTTGCCGAACAGAAATGTTGCTTCCAGTCTCATCTAGGCTTTTTGGCATTGGTATTCAGGAGGATGTGTGTTGTGTGAGAGAGAGAGAGAGAAAGAAAGAATTAGTGAGGAACAGACATCTCGAGGGAGTTACAGTCCCTGTGCTGGATACTACAAAATAAGTGTACATTTGGCGAATTAGCCTCTTCAGTCTAGAGGTACTTCTGAAATGGTGTAAACTGTGTAGTGGGAATATCTTCCCCATGCATTGGGTTGTTTCTTTGTAGGAGATGCACTCCCACAGTGTTTCGTCCACCCACGTCACTTCTCTGAAACAATTTTTTAACTAACAATTTCGTATTTCATTGATAATGAATTCCCTGAGTAAAGTACCAAGTAATTAAGGTTAGTAAGAGTCTTATTTTTGTTATGTCCTTTGCTAATTTGAATTGAATTAAGACTTTGGAGAAGTGAAGAGGCTGGTCTTTTAACAATCTGTTAAAATTGTCCCTGCAGACTTGGACATAATTATGCTTAGGGGAAATAAATATACAGTGAAAACAGGAAGGTATTTTTATGGTGAAACAGTGCTTTGCAAGCTTATGAGAGATTTGTTTGAAATACCACCATATTCTTTCCATATATTTTTAAGAGGGTCCAATCAAACGTTGTGTATAACCAGTAAATACTAGTAAATGGACATAAAATTAATGATATATTAAAATTTTATTTATTTTTAATTATCTCTGGTTTTGTATTTTATATATTTTTATATATGTAATTGCTTTTTCATGTGTCGTAAATATGATTTTATCTGAAAGTAAAATCAGCTAGTGCTGAGTCCCAATTTCAATCCACTTTTTAATCGAATACTTGTTTCACACATTTTTTCCCGTATTTTATAAGTATGAAAAAGATTATTTCAGGAAAATTATGGTAATGATGTAGTATCTTCAATGAAAAAATCTTTGTTTTATATGATAGAAAACTGTTTCATTTCAATTTGGAGATATAACACAGAAGGAAGAAAATTCCACTACTTCTTTAAGCATCCAAGAAGTCATAAACCTATGCAGTTACTGATAAGATTTTCATTTCACTACAACACCGTGAGTGCTCTATATGGTTAAGTAAAGCAGAGTCAGAAGTGTTTCTCTCATCAAAGAGTTTAGGAAGAACAATCTGGTGTTCAGATAGTTTGTCTGTATAAGTTTATTACTACAGAGACTTCAGTTGATGCATTATAAAATCTCTTTTGGGTGTATCCATGTTTGTAATGTAAAAGAATGTTCTCAAAGTAAAAGCACGTTTGGGAAAATATTTGGATTTTTCAAATGCCATGGGCACCACCTTTCATCTGATATAATGTTGAGTTTTCTGCAAGCACAGAAGCAATGGAGCTCCATGTTAGTTATGCTAACGAAGAATATAACTTCTGCAGCCAAAAATGTACTGGAGGCATAAATAAAAATTAAAGACATGAACGTGAATGTAACAGAATAGAACAGAACAAGCACAGAACAATTATATTAAGACATCTTGCAATTTTTTTAAAATTATTTAATCAAAATTAGAGAGTCAGACATCATAGTAGTATGACAAATAAATATAAAATAATTTGAATGGTAGTTATTGAGTCCTCTCTGGTTTACTGAAATGCGTATGCCTTTTGTTAATACGTACCACAGATTTAACTATGAGCAGCTGTACACTTTTACAGCGGTTATGTGTGTTCTAGAAAGATTTTTTTTTAAAAAAAGGACAAGAGATGCCATGAAGGTCTCTTGCCTCTACTGTGGCTAGTGTATTGCTTCCAACATTTCAAATAGAAAATGCAGTTACTAAAATTTGATACAAGCAGTGCACTGATATTTTTATTTTCTTTTTCATAGACTGAGATGCTTGGTAAAGCAGCTGGAGAAGGGTGACATTAATGTGGCGGACTTAAAAAAGAACATTGAATATGCAGCATCTGTGCTGGAGGCAGTTTATATTGATGAAACCAGGTAAGTCGGGGGCGAGGGGGAGGAAAGGACGTTTGGGAGTCGCGTTTCAGCAGCTTGATCTTTGCATGCAACTCTAACTAACGTTAGCTGCAGATCTCCACAAATTAGGAGACTAATATGTGGCTTTTAGGTCTCTTAGTGACAAGATTAAAGCAAAAAGATTCTAAAGGTCAAATGTAACTGCCGTCTGGAGAGCGTGCTTAGTTCTTGTCTTCCTCTATGGTCAAACGTGCACAGTATAAAGTCATAAGAATTTTCTGAAAGGTTTTTCCACCCCCGCCTAAAGGCCGCATGCTCATGATCATGCTGAGAACTGTGCTGCTGAACAAAATGAGTTGTTTTGGAGTTAAGTGCTCATGGAGATGAGTCAGAGCATTATAATCTGGCCCTTAAATCCAGAAATTCATGAAAAATTGTGATTTGTGTTGTTTGATGTTTTGTTTATGACTTATTTATGTTTATTGTTACTGGAAGTATTGCTGGCAATTATTTCTGATGTGGGTTGACTTCACTGAAATTACAAGTTCTGAATATGTGGCTCTTGAAAGAATTTTAAGATACGTACTATCATTGAAGTTAACTAACTAGTTGTGATTTTCATTTCACTGTGGTGGCCTTTAAAGTTTTCTCTCTATGCAGAACGTTCTTCTAAAAATGTCTGCCAAAATGTCTTCAGTATTGTTTGAATATGCAGTATAGGTCTAGTCTTGGTTCTGTATTAAATTTAAGTCTAACACTTTAATAATTATTTCATAGATCACTCCCTTTCCCGCTCTCGTTGATAATCCACGTATTTGATACAGTGCTTAAAGCACTGCTGTAATGTTTTCCTGTTTCGTTTCCTTTGATGCGTACGAGTCGCACACCAAGCGTTTGCCAGTCTGTAATTTGATGTGTCTGCCACTGGGCAGTAGAAAACTTGCCTGTCTGCAGACAGAAGAAGGAAATCAACAGCAAGTGAAGCTGGTCCCTTTGTCGCCTTTGTCGCAGGTTGTATTACAGACTGGGCTGGCAGAATCAGTTATACTGGTGTCTTGCTCTTCTGTTTAGCACAAGTCCAGGTCCGTAAAAGGTTACTGAGCAGGGGTAACAGACAGGACCTTCCTGAGCAGCCTGTCAACCACAACACAGTTCCTGGGGACACTTTCAGAAGCGTCCCTAGTGATCCCCAGTTAAATACGTAGCTTGAAAAGCGGTTTGTTTCTCAGGGACTTCAGAGGGCTCTCATATATTTTTTTCTGTTACAAAGATGATCACAAACTTGGCTAGATTAAGCTTAGCTGAGGAGGGGGAAAACAGAAAAGAACCCTGAGACTAAGGTGGTGTTGTGTGAGTTGCAAGGGACCTGGGCTTGTGATAAAACTGCATACACTTAAATAAAATATTATAAACTCTTAGTTAATTCAGCCTAAATGCCAGTGTGTATATATTTACTTCAGTTTGGTTGACTGGCTTGTTTTCTATGTTGAAACAACGGTTGATGAGCGGGTGTACGTTAGTTTGTCATATGTGTAGTTAAATTGATACAGTTCCTTAGGGAAACTGACATAAAGGTATGATCAACAAACTTGACTTTGGGCTTGTGTTACCAAAATAGAAGCCAGAAAATCTCAGTTTCCAGTGATGGGTCTAGATGTAAATCTTGTTGACACCACTCACGTTCTCAGGAAGCTTTGGAAAATCTTGGTCCTCTCTGGCCTGTCTTACAGAATGCTGTATCACCGACAGTGATCAGTGCTTGAGTATGTATTTTGCATTATTTTGCATTAAGAATCGTGGGATTTTTAATCGAAAGGGACTTACAGCTGTGGACAAGGACATAAAACACTGGTGAATATTCCTTCCATACACCTCCCAAACACTGTGGCTGTATGGCTTATTCATAGCTCTTTGTGAGTAGTAGCACCACGACTGTGAAAATAATGTGAGATTTAGTTTCTAAAATGAGACCTCTGTGAAATATAATGAGGAATCCAGTCTTATGGGCTCTGTGTAGGAGCATTAAGACAAGGAAACAGAAAATTCATATGCAGGGAAAACTGGTATACCAGAAAATGCATAGTCTATGGCAGCAACAGGTGCATCATTGTTAGTGTAAGCAAATCTTAATTGCCCTCATAGGACATAATGGATTATGTAGCTGCCCAAACGAAAATAAACATATATAATTTTACAGTGGTTTGGAAGTTTTTCAGAGCCCGCAGGTCGTAGGGGCAGTATGACTTCATAGTGGAGACTATCCAAATATTTAATTAGAATTTTTTGAAAATATGTAAATAAAGGTTTTACTCTTCTCTGACTTGATGCACAGCAATATTTCATATTATTTATTGATTGCATCCAATTTTTTTGCAGAACAATCTGATTTTTTACTGAAAAGAAATCGTTTAAAACTAAGGTCAGTAAATAGAGCTAAGCGTGAGTTTTCTCACAGGGTGTGTTCAATAGCGTAGCCAAGGATCAGGGGAGAACTTGGCCTTTTCCACAGTTCTGGAGAACCTTTTGTACTACTTTAGAAAAGAAATCTCAAGCACTAGTCCAGCAAAACCACCTTGCTTTTTGTAAGTCTGAGCTTTTTTCAATTATCAGTTCCAGCTTCGTAAAGTAAAACACATGGAGATATCCAAGTTTTTGTGTCTACTGTAACTTTGAATTGACCGAAAAGCCTGTATCTTTCTATAAATTGTATGTGTTTATATACATATATAAACTGACAGCCCCTTGAATCTTTTACACAGTTCAACGATCATACTGGAAATAGGCTATAGAATTCAAACTCTGTTACAGAGTAAAAGCACCTTTCTCAGTTCTATTATTTTCCTTCCCTCTGGTCCTCTGTTGATCTACAGTATAGCTTTTTATCTGAAAATAAGATAATATTTTGTAAAAACTATATATGACTATAAACATTCTCATATCTGTATTTGCTATTTCCAAAAATATATTCAGTTGAGTTGAGGAGAAGGCAGAGAATTAATAAAACAGGCTTTATTTATGGAGTGCTGAAAGTAGACTCCTCAGAAACTAGCTGGACAGTAGAGACAGGCTTATGAAACTGAGAAAAATTGTTATGAGACAGTGATTGACAATATTCCATATTAAAAAAAAATAATAATAAAGTTTTCGCAGGATGCCCTTGTCAGGTTCTCAGCTGATGAAAAGGCAGAAAGCATAGAGAAATTAGACGTGTGGAAGAGCTGCTTTCCTATAAGCTTAATCATTTTTTCCCATTTAAAATTTCCTGCATTACTTAATTAGCTTCATTAAAAGGTGCTTTTTAGGACTGCTGCATCTGTCAATACTGAATAAATGTAAGCTGCATTAAACACTTCCTTGAAAGAATACGGATGCTTTGGTAGCTGAAGCAGAGGTTTGTTGTCTGCTGCAAATATGCAGAAAACTTTTGCAATTCTGACCTCTCAGCAGATCTCCTCTGTGGAAAAAGTTCAAGCTTTGTCAATAGGTGTTACAAATAATGCCAACAAATCTTGCAGATTTTTCTCTGTCGTTACCTGACACCTGGGCCAAGGTAGTGGGAGAATGATCTTTAAGGTCAAAGGGGAAATAAACGCAGCCCTGCTCGTGCTGTGACTACAGCTGTTCTGGCTGGAGCAAACACGGCTCTTTCTTCATCCCAAGAGAGAAGGAAATATAGCTAAAGAAATCCAAATGGAAATTTCAAGATTTGAAAAAAGGAAATAATCCAAAATAAAATAAAAAAATAAACTTTCAATGGAGAACATTTTTTAAATTGCTCTGGATAAAATCAGAGTGTTTTATTCCAATTATGATCTTATTTTACATTTTTAATAAGCTTTAATTTTTTAGAAAATAGACTTGATTTCAGGATGTTACTTGATATCAGGAAGTTATACATGTCTTATCTAAAAATAACTGTGCAGTTTCAATTCTAGAGGTGTTTTTTACTTTGTTTTAGACTGTATAATACCTTTTTATAAGGCTTCAACCTGTTGAGAACTTTTGACTTAGGAGAGGCTTTGTTTTAGTAATGTATGAAGTAAATCCCCTGTCTGTAACTAGCAATTGCTTTGAGTGTCTTTTATTCAGCAAGAGAAAATAGCAAATGCAAGTTATTGTTACGTTCTTGAAGCAGAAAGGAAAACTCATTAAGGCTAAGTGGTGTTCTAACAATATATGTCATTTGTTTGCATGAGAGCTCTGGAAATACTGAAGGTATTTCAGTGGTATTACAATGTTAAACACAGTCCTTCTTGAGAAAAAGTGCTGATTAAAATGTATATACATTCTACTAAATGTAACATTAGTGAAAAAAGGTCATTAAACCCAAACTTTGTGACTGCTGTTATAATAATCACCTTGGGCCATACTGAATTTCCAGTGCACCACTCCAGTAGTGCACTAAGTATTTCTGCTGCCTTCAGATTTAAAGCAGGGACAAGCATATCTTCTAACTGAAGACAAAAGGGATACTGCAATCATGTCACTCGCAAAAGATAGAGTTGCCTCATTTCGTCTCACCAGACATCAGCACACCGCAGCACTATTTGTGACAGCAGCATGCACATGTGTATCTTGGTCTCAGGAAAAAGGAAGTCAGAAGATGTTTAACTAGGTCCTGGTGCTCGCCAGGATTCGTTGTCGTAGCAAAGCAGCAGCCCAGCAACTAAAATAAAATATCCCGTTTCCACAAGGGGAGGAATGATCAGTAGCAGCGTTGAATACAAAATTTTGGTTACATCTGTGAATGGGGAAAAGCAGTGTGATCAGAGTTCCCTGGTGTTCTCCAGATTCCCCGTACTGTAACAGCATCTGAGCCGGTGGCAGCTGGTCCAACTGAGAGTAATAACTAATAGCTCCAAAAATAATTAACTGAAATACTTATGTTTGGACCTCGTACCTGCTTTTGCTGTCTTACGGCCATCAGGATAGGTTTAGCATCTCTGTGTTTTAAATGAGAATGAGATACAGTGAGGGCTCCATCTTTTACATTTTTTATTTTATTTCATTTGCACAAGCTA